GATTTACAGTCAGAAGACCTGAGTTCAAATTTTCACTTTGTTACTTACTATGTGAGCTTGGCCAACTCATTTGATCTCAGTCTTGTCAATTGTAAAATGAAGAGGATCAATTAATAGTCTCTAAGGTCCCTCCCACCTTTACATCTATGATGTTTGGAGGGATGACATCTTCCACCCTTAACATCTCAGTATGAATAATTTGATGAGAGTCTTTCCCTCCTGACAGCAAGGATGGGGGTGGGGAGCCGGTGTTGGAACGTATGTGTGCCTTTCACATAGTCACATGGTCGTTGTTCAGTTGTCTCTGACTCCTTGTGACTTTGTGGACCATAGCATGGCAATACTGTCCATGGAGTTTTCTTGGCAAAGAAACACATGGTAGATGCTTAGTAAATATGTTGGCATTTGTTGATGAGTTAAACACCTGAGTTGATCATTCTAAAAAGTGTTGAAAAGGACTGAGGATTCCTGAGACCTTTTTTGCTACAGGATAACCAGTTTTTGAGAGCGTTGATGCATACATTTTTTTTGGGGGGTAGAGGCACACCTGTGATTTTATCTATGTGAAAAACACTCTCTAGCAATGCAGATTAATCACTCACTGGTCTTAGATGGGGACAGTGAGTGGTAGGTGATTTCCCTGTGGTCACACAGCTAGTATGTGTCAGAGGTGAACCTGGGCCTTCCTAACTCTAAGGTCAGCCCTCTGTCCACTACACCATCCTCTCTCTCTGCACATGTTGACTCTCTGAATTTCTCTGCTTATCTCCTTCTGAGGGGAGTGTACCTTTTCTCAGGAGAAGCCTCTCAGGGCTTTGGAAACCAAGGGGAGCAGGAAATCTCTCCGGTTCCTGCTGGCAATCTGTGAGTCAAGAGCAGTGGGGTTGCTTTAGGGCTTATACGAGATCCATGGAGCAATCTAGCCTTGGGGAGGGTAATAGCCAGTTTTTAGCATTTTTTTAAGCATCTTTCCAGCCAACTGGAAACCTTAATTACCTCCATAGCCTCACGGTGTTCCACATCTGTGACTGATCTTATCCCAGCAGGCTAGTCTCAGCCCTTCGTGGTGGCTTTTGACAATGGGATGATGATAATTTCCTCTCCTTTTCCCCACAATGAGCTTTACTGTCTTTGACACTTTCCTTCTCTTCATGAGATCTCAGCCAGACCCTGAAGATCCCTAGCAGTCTGGAACATTCCCTGGTCTTTGCTGCTTTCACCTACCAGGGCTCACTGCACTTTACGGTTTCTCTCAGGTCCATTTTCTATTCTTCACACCAATGAAAAGCCTTTAGATGTGCAGTTATCCCTTTACAGATGCTAGGTGGCACCAGAATGCTTTGTAGAAAAAAAAAATCATTTTTCTCTGAATTTTCCTGCCCACGGAGAGTCCTCTGTATGTTTAGATGTTGAATGTTGGTAAAATTCAAAGCATGGGATATTTGCTTTCTCTTCCTCCTTCCTTATTGCCAGGGGTCCTCTGGCTGCTCATTGCAGTATATTTGGACAGCCCTCCCTGGCAGCCAGGACCCTTGATAGCCAAAGGTCTGCCTTCCATTTCCTCAAGCTCCTTATCAGAATATAGCAGTTTGGTGCTATATGCCCTCAGGGCCTTGACCATTGCTAATCTATGACAGCCTCTTAGCAAATTTATATTTTTTGGTAAAGGTTTGCTGTCTCCAAGGATGATAGTAATGACAGCATTTTCAGGAATTGTGACAGGATGGTAAAGAGAAGACTTTCTTCATTCCCTAATCACATTGTTTCTTTTTCTTTTTCTTTTCTTTTCTTTTTTCTTTTGTATTGGGATCCCCAGTGCCTAGCCTAAAGCCTGGTAGGAAATGCTTAGTCAGTGTTTGCTGATTGATAAGTATTTATCATTTACTTCTCCTCCCACATTCTGTGATCCAGTTAAACTGGCCTTTTCTCAGAAGTTGAGTCACTTGCCCATGTTCACATAGCTAATACATGTCAGAGATGGAATTTGAACCTGGGTTTTCCTGATTCTGAGACCAGCGCACTTAATCAACTATGCCATGTTGCCTTTCACATTTTGTTTATAGTTTTCCTAATATTGAACCAACCACGTGTCCCTAGTACAAATACAATCTAGTCATAGTATATAATATCTTTATTATGTTTCTGTAGCCACTTTGCTAGTATTTAATATTTTTGCATAGATATGCATTAGGCATGTCATTTTATCATTTTCTTTCTCTGCTTCATTTCTTCCTAGTTTATGTATTAAGACCATGTTGGCTTTATAGAAGGAATTTGGTAGGATCCCCTCTTTCTCTATTTTTATAAATAGTTTACATAATATGGAGGTGAATTGTTCTTTGAATGTTTGTTAACATTCACTAGTAAATGTATCCACCCCCTCCCACCCTACCTTTGGAAGTTCATTTAAGGCTTGTTGGGAGAAAAAAAGATTCTGAGATTTCATTATGTAAATCCTCTATTTCTTGTTCTGTTAATCTGAATATTTTATATTTATGTAACTATTCATTCATTCATTTGTTACTAGTTTTGTTGGCATATGTTGCAGATCAGGACTGACTTGGACCAGTCTGTGGCTTCAAGTTCCAAAATGGAAAAAAATGAGGCATTCATAAACCATCTAACAGTTAACAAAGGGAGATTTACTTAGCCTAATCAGGGAAAGGCTATTTTTAGCAAGGATGCAACATTGGTCTCTGCTTCCCTGCCACTGTTTTCACCTGGTCTGCCAGTGAGAAGTCAGAAAGAGGAGATACCCCTGCCTCCTTGTGGGCAGCCTTTTTTATGAAGGCCACCAGAAACCTATGTCAGTGGCCCAAGTCTTAGTCTCTGGAGTCAATTAAGCCTATATAGCAGATAATTCTCTTACCACATAATTGGGCACATAGTAAGTGCTATATAAATGTTAGTTATTACTGTGATTTCTTATAGAATACAATGTAGAATAATTCTGTAGTTATGATTATTAATTATATATTTCTCTCCAGTATATAATCTTATAATTTTTCCCCACATGAGCTTTTATACTGAGTCTTGCAGGGTAAATTTTTCTTGGTAATGCCTTTACTTATTTTCTTTTGAAATAATTATGTTCCAAGATTTTCCCTTCCTTATATTAATTACTGTCAAGTCTTTGGTGATCCTGACTGTGATTGCTTGGTACTTGAACTCTTTCTTTTTCTTTTTTTTCTTTTCTTTTCTTTCTTTTTTTGGTTTCTTATAGCATTTTTTTTTTTTTAAAAAACCTGGCGGCTCTGAATTTTGGCTATGACATTCCTAGGAGCTTTTAATTTTGAATTTCATGGGGCGACTGGTAGGGTATTTCTATTTTCACTTTGCCCTCTAGTTCCAATAACTCTGGGTAATTTTCACTTATGACTTATAGAAATATGGTATTTACTTTTTTTGTTTGCTCATGTTTTTCAGGAAGTCTAATGCTTCTTAAATTATTTCTCCTAGGTCTTTTTTCCAGGTTGATTGTTTTCTATAGTAGATACAACAAATCCTGCCCTCCCCTCCCCCCTTTTTATAATCTTTTGATTTTGTCCTAGTATTTTTTTCTTGGAGCCATTGAATTCTTTTTGCTCTATTTTGATTTTTAGGGAGTCTATTTGGGTAAGTTTTTCTACCTTCTCTTCTAAGCTTCTTAATTTTCTTCTAATTCTTTTCTTTAGAGCTCTAATTTCATTTATAATTTCAGCTTTTGTCTCTAGCTTCTTTTCTTCCAGTCACTCTTAGACACCTTGTAGCTATGCAATTCTTCTTCCTTCCCCACTATGATCCTATTTGTACTTGTGGAATCTCTCTTTATGGGTTTGCCTCTTGCAAAATCTCTCTAATCCAACTATTTCTTCATAGTGCTTGGTGTATAAATAATAATAGTAATAATAGTTAACATTTAAATTGTGCTTACTATGTGGCAGACACTCTGCTAGGAGCTTTACTATTATTATCTTCTTTGATTCTCATAACAACCTTGGAAAGTAGGTGTTATTATTATCTCCAATTTACAGATGAGAAAACTGAGGCTAGTAGAGGTTAAGTGTCTTACCCAAGGTTGCACAGTTAGTAAATGTCTGAGGCCAGATTTGAACTTAGGTGTTCCTGACTCCAGGTCCTGTAATCAGTCCACTGCACCCTCTAATTGCCCTACTTCTATTTATTCATATTTCTAATCCTGGTTTCTAGTTTAGAACTTTATGTCAGAACCAGGTCCTGCCTCCTTCTACACTCTGGAATTGGGTGGTTAGTTCTTGCTTGACCATTCCATTCCACGACGACATTTCTTTAATACTTTATAAATCTGGAAAGATTACTGACTTTGGAATCAGAGGAGAGAGATTCAGATTTCGTTACTTTAGAATCCAGTGATTTGGGGCAAGTCAATTAATCTTTCTAAGCCTCTGTTCCTCATCTGTAAAATTAGGGGATTGGATTATGTGCCAACTAAGGTCCCATCTGGCTCTAAATTTATAATCCTATGATTTTACAGTGGCACATAAATGGTAGGCATTGTCGTTGTTATTACTATATTGCCTGTATATATCACGATTCAGTGGTTTAACGTATATGTGTACTTACAGTATGGTATGGTACATAGAGAACTAGTCTTGAATCTGGGAAGATGTGGGGTCAAGTCCTATCTCTGATACCACTTGTGAGACCCTAGGTAATCCCTCAGTCTCTCAGGTATTGAGTTAACCCTCCAACTCTATAAGTTGCAGGGAAGGTTCTGATCTGCATTGACAGAGGGAGTTTCCTCACCTGGGACTTCCCTATACCCATCAAGGTCTGGTTTTACTTGTATGCTGGAGTAGACTATCAACTTCTGAAAGAAGGTCTTCTACTTCTCCTGTTCCTCCTGCAGCACCATGTTGGGCCATGTACATTGTAAATACATAATGAGTAACTTAATCAAAGAATGGGACTCAGAGAGACAGAGAAAGGCACTGATGAAAGAACAAGTTGACAAGAGATTTCTGTTGATGGCTGCTTATGGAAAACCATTTATTTTTTCCCTCCAAGAGAAATGATACATACATCTCCAGTCAGTCAAAACCAGATAAAGAGTATAAAATACATTAAATACAACCATTAATATGAATTATCAGATACAAAGGGAAAAAAAAAAACGATCCCGCATAGTTAGTCTTTCCCCCTGAGTTAGAGGGCAAGTTGGATAATCACATTTGGTTTTATTTAAAAAAAAGGAGGGGGGACAGAGACCCTGACAAGGTTTTCATCAAATGCTATGCTCTTGGCATGGCATTTGGTGCAACCTGGCATTCAGGCAAGAGGCTCCTGTTGTCTTTCATAGTCGGTGCAGTTCCTCACAGCTCTGAAATAGAATTCTAGCCTTTGACCTTATGGGTTTTTGACATGTAGGGAGCTGTAGACATGCAGAGGGTAGAAGGTGAGGCATTTATGACCTCTGCATTTTGGTCTTTTCCTTTCTATCATGAAAGGTTGCATTGTTATTGTTTTCCTTGGCATCACAGAAATCACCTAGAATTAACCAACTGTCCAGTGTTGGTGACACTAGATTATATAGAATGTGAGAGGTAGAAAGACTCTGATAAACTAGTTCCAGGCACAGTGACCAGGTTAGAAAGCTTTGAATGACATCTTCAGTTTTAGAGTTGAGTATGGAAAAGGCTGGCTCAGTTACCTGCATCCTCCCAAATGGCAGCTGGGATGTGTTCTAGCCTCTGAAGGAAGGGCTTTTTCATGGTCCGTGATGAGTTGGGGAATGCAGATACTATAACAGTCCAGGGATTTCCATATGCTAAAAGGATAGGAAGCTAGCATCAGAGTCAAGAAGACCTGGGTTCAAGTCTCACTTCTGATGCATGTTGTGTGACCCTAAGTGAGTCACAACCACCCAGTGGCTTAGGCAACTCTTGAAGAATAAGTAGTAGATGAGTTGCTAATATGCACTAGTAGAGGGAGATTCTTTGTTGGGAATTCGCTACACCAATGAAATCACAGGTCTTCTCCTCCTCTGACCCCACGGTCATAAAACCATAAGAATTTTTACACAGGTTTCTGGTCTCTACAGTCTGGTGCTCGGTCTCTGATAGACAATCAGGGGAGTACCTTTCCATGTTAACCTCAAATGGTTGGGCATGTCCTTGAAACATCCCTAGCTTAACTTAATCTAATTTCTTTTACAGCTTTATAATTAATTTATTAACACATTACAACACTTTGAATTCTTTTCATACTTTCAGCCCCTGACCCCTCCTAAGGGTAATGAGTTTCCTGAGCTTTCTACTCACTGTGTGAAGCAATACTTCTTTTTCTGTGTCTTGAAAAAACTGCAAGTGTTAATTTGATGTGGCCAAGTCCTAGTGTTCCCAGTTTTAGGTGAACAAGGTTATCTGTAATCCTAGCAGGTGCTTAATGAATGCTTGTTGACTGACTGAATGATTGAATGAATTTTTAATGTTGTCCTAGTCCTTCCCCTCCTCTTCTTGGGCTTGGCCTCACAGTCCTTGTCCTTTGATCCTTCTTTCCCTATCACATTGTGGTTACCCAAAAGAAATCCTCCTTGGCTCTGTTTTATCCTTTTGCCTACATCTAATGCTGATAAATTCATTCAAGTCGAACAGTGACTAATACGCAGTTCTCTCTCTCTCCCTCCCGCTCTCTCTCTCTTTCCTTCTCCCCCTCAAAAAATAGATATCCAAAGTAATGAATTCAAATCTGGCCTTCATGGGGAAGAGGAGTGAGGTGGAACAGCAACAAGTGCTATCTTCAAGGTTAAATGGTCATTGGGCCTAACTTTGTGAATATAGGAAGGTTCAGACCTCTGGGTGGAAGTGTGATCATTTTTGGAAGAAACTCAGACTCCTTTGCTCCAACTCTGGGCCTGTGTCTTCTGAAATTTTAGTTCTTCTCCAGTGTGTGGGCCAAATTATTGATGTGAGAAGCGCTACACCCCCACAAGCTGTTCATTAGAGTGATTCAGTATTTGCAGGCACATTCCTGGAACTGGAGGCTTGAGGGCCATTTCTTAAAGAATTGCCCTAGCTCACTGTGCATGGAAATATTTTTTCATCCTGAAAAAAGAAACACATGACTCGTTTCTGTAAGAAGGCCTGCCTGATGGGTGTGGAAAACTCTCAGAGCGGCTGTCTAATTCCCAGTTTTGTTCTCTATCCCACATACTATTTTTTTTTTAACCTATTGGGAAAGCCAGCTCTGTCTCCAGGGAGGTCATTATTCCGATAGGAAAAGGGGTCAAGACTGCCCAGTCTTCTTCTACTTGCCCAGAACGGATTGTGACTTGCTTGAGGTCACAAGATAACGCATTATATGAACGTGTTTGGAGTTTGTCCCTGCATACGCAGCTGTGTGTGAGGCCCTTCATATAGTCAATGAGCTCTGGGATCGGCGATGGCTCCCTCTGCTTGAGGGTCCTGGGATGCCAATCTGTGGACTTTTGAACATTCCGAACGCTTCGGATTCACTCGGTCCCAAGAGGTATTCATCTGGGGAGGGTCTTGCTGCGGAGCGAGGCGAGCTTTGGTTATACCCCATATGACATGGACAGAAGTGGGGGCTACTTCTGTCTCTATTAAGTACACAGTCCCCAACATGTCTTTTCATGGGAGGGGAGGAATCTTTTAGGGAGTTGTCCCTTGATTCCTGTTCCGTGAAATGGGGGACTTGCAGGTGACCCAGGTTGGCATTTCCAGGGGATGGAGCTGCTCGACAGGCTGTGGGTAATCCCTCTCTTTGTCTCTTCCACTCCTGGATAGCCAGCTCCCTTTTCTCTTTGGGAAGTTTGTCCAGTTTCTCAGCTTTCAGGAGGGGTGAATTTCCATAGGTCCCTTGCAGAGCCAGCAGAAAATACCTGGTGGGAGATGGAAAAGTAATGAGTCCTTAACACTTACAAATATCTATAGTAACAGGCCCCAAAATGGGAATACCATCTTGGCATTCAGGTCAGTTGAACTCCTAAACAGGTATCTTTGCTATTCTGGAAATATTGACTCTCAAAAGATTTATGTTTCAGTCCTAGGAATAGTCTGATGCCCTAACCCTGATGGCCCAAAAGACTGAGTGGGCTATGAAGGATTCCATGGTAGGTTAGGTTATTTATCCAACAATATTTTAAAGCGCTTTCTCTGTGCAGAACACTGAAATAGGGGTAGGGGAGATGAAATGTCTAGATAAGACAGTACCAGCTTTCAAAGTACTTACAAAGTATAGAGCTGACACAAACATATCTAAAATTTACAATGATATGATACAGATGCAGGAAAGAGGTACAAAACAAAGTGCTATTTAAACTCCAAAAGGGGTAATTGCTATGGACAGGAGGGATCAGCAGAAGCTTCCTGGAGGTGTCATTTCATTGGAAATTAAAGGATGGGGAGGAAATCAGCAAGAGAAGAGGTAGAAGATGATATTCCAGGCATAGGAAATAGGATGAACAAAGGTATAGGGAATAGGATACATTGGGGGCTGGCGTGGCTGGGACAGGAGATGATGAGAGAGGCAGAGAGTAATTCAGTTTGAGTGTGGGAAGGGAAGACATATGAGGTAAGGCTGGGAAGGAGAGACGGTAAGGCTGACTTATCTTTTGACGTAGACTATTGTAGAAACTGCTCATTAATCATTCACAAGCAGCAGGGCGTAGGGAAAAGAACTCTGGGCTAGTGGTCAGGGAAGTTGAGTCCTAGACCTGGCTCCACCATTGATTTGTTACCTTTGGAAGGTGACTGAACCATTCTGGGCTTGAGGGCAAAGCCAGAGATGGATCTATTTTGCTAGTGGAGGGAGTAAGGAAATTGGGTCTTCCAGGAATCGAACTTGATGAAAGACAAGATCTAGTATGTCTCAGAGAGAACATGTGGGCCCTCTAACCTTGAATATTAAGAGTGAAAGACTGAATTCTTTAAACTAGACATCCTGCTGAGCCAGCAATGATCACAGCATTTGGCTCTATCCCTAAGGTGGCGGATAAAAATTTTTAACTGAGTGTTTGATGCAGCTTTTTAGGAGAGAGAACAGAGGCAAAGATGACAGTGGGTAGATATGAATGTTAACAAAAAATCATGTTTTCAACAAATGCCCAAATTGCAGTAAGGATGTGAAATTTGGTTGTGGGACTGAGAGGGCCAAAGTCACTAGAGACTTCCTGTGCAGAGAGAAAGAGAGAAATCAGTCTCATCTAAACTCTATGGATCACCACATTGAGAAGCAAACAGAAATGAATCACAGTTTAGATGTAAGGAGAATATAATTGGTAAGAGAAAGATTGTATGCACATTTCCTAAGTCTGGCACCATCCTGGTGGATTCACTAATTTGTGTCCAGGATTATAAGATTTACAGTTGGAAGGAAAAGAAATTGTCAACTCTGAGTCACTTATTTTATACAGATGAGGAAACTGAGACCCAAAGAATTTAAGTGACTTGCCTGAAGTCACATAGTTGATAAATTATAGATCTAGGATTCAAACTTGGGTCATCTGACTCCAAAACTATTGTTTTCTCCATCATATCATGTTGTCTGCCCAAACAGTTTTATCTCCCAGGAATGATATTAACTGTTTCACAAACAAACTTTTTTCCAGTCAAGAATGAAATAGGTCATCTATATAGCTTCGTGCTCCTATTTCTCCTTGTCCTGTTTCTCTAGGTTTGGGGTGGATGAAGGGGGTGGATGAAGATGTTGTCTGAGACTTATTATGAAAGTATATTCCTTCCTTTTTCATCTCCACTGAATCTGTGTCCAAGGAGGAAGTGTCAGGTTGTCTATAGCCTAGGAAAACTAAAATCTGTGCAGGTGCAATGAATTTCTGGATTTACCTATGTGAGCCCCTGAAGAAGATTGGAGTGGGGAGCCCTTGAAGATTAGAGGGTGAGCCAAGGCCTTGGGCTTGGCCACATGGTCCTTGTGGATATGCTTTTGACCTCCCCACCATACTCTGGTTACCCAAAAGAAGTCCTCCTTGGCTCTCAGATAGCCTCTTGCCTATATCTAATGTTGATAAATTCATTCAAGTTGAACAGTGACTAACACTCAGTGATCTTATTTTACTCCAAGAGCTAATTCTAAGATCATTTATGACACTGACCTGTGTGGCAATATATTTCCTTTAGAGGCATTTGTCTATATTAGTCACTAGGAACAATGACTCAATGTTTTAGAAGGTTCATTTGGAGGTTATCTGATGTTGGGAGCCTGGGAGGTAGGAGTTGGGGGCCTGGATTTTAATTTGCGTGCTGATTTGTTGTAATTGAACTTGTAATAATAGCACCTACCTCCCAAGGTGGTTGTTAGAAACAAATGAGATAATATTTGTAAAGGGTCTTTGCAAACCTTTAAGTGTAATATAAATATTAGCTATAGTACATTACTACTAATTGTTATTATTATTAGTTTTGAGGAAATCCAAGATTTTCCCTTTGCTTCAGCTTACCCATTAGTAAAATGGAGAGCCCTATTCTGCTTCTGTCATCATGTAATTGCCGAGATAAAATATGACAGGTGGGAGAATGTTTATGATGTAAAATACTATAGAGATGTAAGATATCATTACTATTTTATAAGAAATTATAATAAACAATAGACCTTATAATAATGCTAGTTTGTTTTTATAAAGTACTTCTTTTCAAAGTGCTTTTAAATTTAGTTTTATTCCTTTTCTCAATAATAACCTCGGGTAAGAAGGAATGGAAATGAAAGGTGTATTATTATACACATTTTATAGATAACAAACCTGAAGAGGTCACTGGGCTTGCCTAAGGTCACAAAGCTACTCAGTGGGAGAGCTGAGACTAGAACCCAGGACTCTAGCTCAGTGCTCCTACACTCACTATTCCATACTGTCATGAAAACAATAGCCCTACAGGCTCCAGAAAGATCTGAGCTCCTAATCCCTGGATTATGAGGTTAGTGCATGGAGTTGTGGCTAGGGTTGTTCAGTCGTTTTCAGTCATGTCCAACTCTGTGACCCCACTTGGGATTTTCTTGGCAGAGACACTGGGGTGGTTTGCCATTTCCTTCTCCAGCTCATTTGACAGATGAGGAAACTGAGGCAAACAGGGTTAAGTGACTTGCCCAGGGTCACACAGCTAGTGAGAATCTGAGGTCAGATTTGAACTCAGGAAGATGAGTCTTCCTGAGGCCAGGCCAGGGCTCTGTGCACTATGGCGCCACCTAGCTGCTCTGTGGTGTAGGGAGAACAGTCTAAACATGCTAACCTTGGAAGGAGGGCAGCAACAGGTGTAAGGAGGCACAGGAGGTAGAAGATGGGATCTGACATCTGCTTCTCCATGATCCAGTAGGGGTTGGTTGGGCTGTTGCAGGTGACGCAGAAGGAATTGTACAGGAGGGAGACCACAAAATAAAGCAGGAAACTAACTATGAGCACAGTGCAGTGGATGAATGTCTGCAAATGAGAAAAGATGTAGTGATGTTATGCTGAAAGTCAATGGAACCTGGAAACCAGTAGCAGTTCTATAAGGTAATATCTCCTCCTGGCTTTGCTTCTAATTCTCACTGCCAAGGACTTCACTGCCAAGCCTTAGCGACTCTCTCCCCCTGAAAGAGGGTGGGGAACCTGTGGCCTGAGGCCCCGTGTGGCCTTCTAGGTCCTCGGGTGCATCCTTTTGACTGAGTCTTAAGTTTTACAGAACAAATCCTTTTATTGAGGGGATTTGTTCTGTGAAGTTTGGATTCAGTCAAAGGGCTGCACTTGAGGACTTACAGGGCCACACATGGCCTCGAGGCAGCAGGTTCCCCACCCTTGCCCTAGAGCTTTCCCCTCTGTGACTAGGGTCTTCTCCCCCTGGAACATCCCTCCACCTCTCTGGCAGCCTCTACCATTCCTGAGTTCCTCTTGGGGCCTACATTTTGGGGATGGGCCTAGTCTGGCCATGCTTAATTCTCCTCAGCTCTGCTTCTGACTCTCAGGACATCTCCACCATACCCCCTCCTCAGGTACCTTCCCCCTTCTCCCTCCAACCTTTTTAGGTCGCTTTTGTATGTTATCTTCTCCCATTGGAATGCAAAACTTCTGGAGGCAAGGGACTACTTTTTGCTTATACTTGGCTCTCCAGTGCTTAAAACAGTGCCTGGCATACAGCATGCACTTAATAAATACTGGTTGGCTTGTCTCGTCTTAGCTGGCTTTCTCATCTTACTGTGAATATGGGAATGATCAGAAAAAATATGGATATTTGAACTTGTGTTAACTCTATAAAAATAACTCTTTTGAGAGTTAGTGAGATTAGTAGAGAGCTGGCCTTGAAGCCAGGAAGACGTGGGCTCAGCCCCTGCCTCTGAGGCATATTGGCTCTATGACTCTGGACAAGCCCGCTAATCTCTCAGCACTCTAGACGACTTCCCAAAATTATAAGTTTCAGAGATGGTGCTGACTGCATTGGGAGAGGGAGGGTCCTCATTTGGGAGTTCCCTTTGCCAACAAAATCACAGGCCCAGCACCCTAATAAGAGTAGCCTTTTATGTGAATATTACAGAAAGTACAGACTCTGGACCCTGTTTAGAGTGTCTTCAAAAGGACAGCTTCTGTGCGGTGGTTTGGACAACGAGCTCCTTTTCCAAGGGCACTGAATCATGTCTTCTGTTCGATTTCTCTGCATGATGGAGCACTGCAGGCTCCATGGACAGAAAGAGGAACTGAAGGGGCTCAGATGCCTGAGATGCAATTAACTTGGTCGGTCTTTTCTATTGAGTGATTACTACTGCAAAACTGCATGGAGAAGATGTAAAAAACGTGCCTTTTTTTTGAAAGATGAATGATGCAGCATATTCAGTTAAATGGCTCAGGATGTTAATTCTATTTCTTTGTAAAGAGAATCGAAAGACCAATCAGAAAATTTCCCAAATCTTAAAAGCCTCATCATCTGTCTTGGTTACAATAGTAGCCTGATTGTGTATTACTGAGTTAAAAAAAAGTCCATTTGGTGGCACGGTCGAATGAGAATCATGCATAGAGGTTACTCCAATAAGAGCAAAGCCGTTATGCTAAATTGTTCTATGGACAGTGCCTGGGATGATCAGGTCCTAGCTTAACACCAGGGTGAAGGTCCGCTGACCAAGGGCAAGATGGACCAGTGTTCTGGAGCATAAATATGTCAGGTGAAATCCACATCGTCTCTTTACTATCTATTGAATTTTTTTTTTTTTTGGCAATTGGGGTTAAGTGACTTGCCCAGGGTCACACAGCTAGTAAACGTCAAGTGTTTGGTTTGAACTCAGGTCCTCCTGACTACAGGGCTGGTGTTCTATCCACTGCGCCATCTAGCTGCCCCTTATCTATTGAATTTGTTTCTGCAATCATAAGGGCATACTATTTGGAAAGAATTAACATTTAAGTCCCTCTAATCTGGCCTCATTTTACCTACATTGTAAACTCCTGGAGCGCCGGGACCGCTCAGTTTTTTGTCTTTGATCCCTGAGTACCTAATACAATGCCTTGGACTTTTTATTTTTGGGAGGGGTGTGGACCTGTGATTTTTATTGGTGTAAGAAGCTCCTGGTATGGAAATTTGACCAGTGGATGCAGATCAGCAAGCTGTCTGAAATTCAGTCTTAAAAAGTTGCCTCTGAGGTGCTGAGTGGTTAGGTGACTTGTCCATGGTCACAAAGCTAGCATATGTAAGAGGCAGAGCTTCAAGGTAGGTCTTCTGACTCTAAGACTAGGCCTTTATACACTATATCATGTTTCCATTCTCCTTATATATAACAGGTAGCTTAATACATGCTTGTTGAATTGAATGATTTATGAAACCATGTTTCCCACTACTTACCAACATTAATCTTTTGCTCCAATAAGGAGAGCAATGAGGTTAGTGTCTTTACTTTCTCCAAACACTCTGCTTATTATTTTTTTTTTTTTACAAACCTTGTGCCTTTGCTTATGCTCCATCCCTACCCTATTCCCAAGGTGTTCCCTTACCCCCAGGGTATCTTCTTCTCATTTACGTATGCAGTTCATATCCATCATTCAAAGAAGGCTTTTGGTTGTCACTAACTTTTCCCTCCTTGGAAGCACCAACAAACAGTTATAATCAGTATTTCATAGTTTAGCATTTAACTGTTTTCTCATTGTTTCACGTTTCTTCGATTTTGTTTTCCCAGTTAGAATCTAAGCTCTTTAAAGACAAGAATCTTAGAGATTGTCTAGTCTAAATCTCTTATTTTATAGATAAGGAAACCAAGGATCAGAGTGGTTAAATGATTTGTCCATGGTCACACAGCTTGTAAGTGAAAAGTTGTTCAACAGGCATGTATTAAGTGCCTGTCATATGACAGGCACTGGTGATACAGAGATAAAAATGTCAGTCCCCACCATAAAGGTGATTACTGTCTCATGTGTATCAGGAGGAATAGCAGACATACACTGCTAAGTTGCCCATTCCTAGAATGCCCTCCCCCTGCACTTCCTTGAAGATAAGTCAAAGTACTAACTTCTATATGAAATTGTTCCTGATTCCCTCAACTGCTAGTTGATAATAGTAATAGTATTAACAATTATTATAATAACAATAATAGTAACAATAGCTGGCATTTATATTGTGTCTACTGTGTGCCAGGTACTCTGCTAAATGCTTTACAAATATTATTTTATTTGATCCTCACAACAATTCTAGGAGGTAGGTGCTATTATTAGCTCAATTTTACAGTTGAGGAAAATAAGGCAAATAGAGGTTAAATGACTTGCCGAAGGTCACACAGTTAATAAGTGTCTGAGGCCCAATTTGAACTAAGGTTTTCCTGACTCCAAACCCAGCATTCTCTCTCAACAACCTTGTATTTAACTACTTCACATTTATTTGAATTTATCATCTTTATATTCATTATGTACTTTATTTCATATACGTACTTGTTTCTCCTGGATTATTCCATTCTTTATATCTGAATTCTTGGTGCCTGGCACACAGTAGATGTTTAATCAATGTTTGTTGATTGGATAATTGATGAGAACAATACAAGGGAGAAAGTGTTAAGGGCAAAAAGGGGACAAAAAAGACAAAATTGTTTTGGAAAATTTTAGTAAGGATAAATGACTTTCAGTTGGGAGCCTGGAGGGATCATGGCAAACTTTATGAAAGGGGTGGAGAGGAATAGCACCTGCAATGGATAAACCTTAAAGGAAGAGAAGGATTTCAACAGGGAATGTGTTTGAGTCACATGGGATGGATTGTATAGCTCCACATAGGTGGGAGGGAATAGGATGAGACAAATAGCTAGCATTCTAGTTTGGTTGTAATGCAGAATGGCAAAAGGGGAGGGAACAGTGTGAAAAAAGACTAGAAAGGTGGGATTGTGAAGTCTAAGGCTAAATGCAAAACCAACTTGGAATCCTCCTAACCTGTCTCCTGGCCCTCTAGACTTTCAGTATCTTATAATTGGAATGGACCTAAGAGGACAGCTAATTGAATGTAAGTCAAAATATTTGCGGAAGTAATTACTAGGAAACCACTATGTACAGTAGAAAGAATGGTGGATTTGGAGTCAGAGAACCCAGCTTTGCCTCTTGTTACAACTTAATTTTGGTAATCCATTTAATCTCTCTGATCCTTGATTATTTCATCTGTAAAATGGTGGGGCTGGCCTGAATGCCTCCTAAGGTTCCTTCTTAACTCTAAATTGATGATGCTATGGTGTCCATACCCATGTCTTCATTTCCATTGCCTGGTGTAACAAGATTGTGGTGAGAGAGATGGTATTGATGGGTGTTCCAAAAGTGAAGACACCAATGTCAGAGTCCTTGTAGACCTACAAAAGAGACACACGGAAATTATAGGTGTGGAATGAATCATATCTTGTCAGACATGGACAGTGCTAGTCAATTTCACTTATCTAATCTTCTTAGTTGGGTAAAGGGAGAGGAGTGATTGGAGAGTCGAAATGTTAAAAAAAAAAAGAGTACCAGTAAAACATTTAATTAAAAATCAAAACCAACCTGAATTTATTAGGTATGTTTGATTAAACAAATATTTACCAAGCATCTATCATGTCCCAGTCCTTCCTCATTGCTGCCAGTGTCCTCTTCCTCTAACTTACTTTGTGTTAATTTTGTATATATTATGTATGTACTCATATAGGATCCTATAACCTTATAATCCCACGTGTATGTCATCTTCCCTGGTTAAACTCCTTAAGGACAGGGACTATTTCACTAATGTATTTATATTAGTTTCTAGAACAGTGACACATACTGAGAACTTAATAAATGTTTATGGATTGACAAATTGACAGCCAGGAACTGTTTTAGGTGCTGGTGACACAAATACAAAAGTGGTACAGGCTCTTCCTTTAAGGAGCTTATATCTATGGTGTGGGGAGGAGGAGGAATGGGAATTAAAAAAGATAGATTAAAAAAAAGAGGCATATATTGGCAATGTGTGTGGCAATGGCCATCTATCCCTTGACGTCATAGGAGAGGGTGTGGTAAAATAAAAATGTAAACATTTGTCTGAGAGAAGAAGCATTTGAGAAGAGGGAGAATTTCTGATCAGGAAGAGGTCATTATGGGAACGAGTAAGGCTACAAATGCAAGCCAGATGTATGCCTTTTTACTAGGGAGAGAGCATCCATTAACTCAGTAGCAGCCAGACACATTAGAGAGAACAATGTGTTCAGGGTCAAATTATAATAGGGAGAGATCATTTTCAGCCAGGGGCAGTGAAGGAAACCAGGGAATACTCTATACAGTAGTTGGTGCCTGAACCAGGCCTAGCAAGGAGGGGATTCTGGCTAATGTAGATGCCTAAGAGCGGATTCTCCAGTGCTCTCTGGATTAAGTGATTTGCTCTTTCTACAAGTGTTTGCTGGCCATTTACTATGTGCCCAGGACTGAGCTAGGCACTGGGGGAATACAAACTTGGGATTGAAGCCTGCCTTCTCACTACTGGAATAACCTTAGATTAATTTCTCCCTCTCTCTAGACCCCAGTTTTCTCATCTGAAAGTGATGAGATTTTAGACCAGGTGATTTATAAAGTTACCTTCAATTTTACATCTATGGTCTTTTGATATACCAAGATAAATCTAACTGGTCTGGGTCTCCCCAGTACAACAACCTCTTGAGGGTAGGGACTTACACAAGGTAGGAATTTAATAAGTTCTTGTTAAATTGTATTGGGTTTTCTTTCTCATTCAACATTTCCATTATCATCCAAAAATCATCCAATAACCAATATCTCTATTCACCTGGTGTCAGTCACCCATATTTCAGGTATAGAGTTTAGGAGGACACTTTGTCTCTGGACTCAGCCCTACACATTGCACAACACCAAATTCCTGTGCCAAAACAGGACAAAATCCTCAATCCAGGTTCAAGACTGGAAAGTAGGTATGGAACTTACCAAATAAGGGATAAAGAAACAGATGAGGCTTTGATAGAAAGCATCCACCATGGCAATCCAGAAAGTTGACAGCTTGTAGAACTGTGGGGAAGGAATTCATCCAGGTTACCATCACCAAAGCTGACCTCTAATGATTGATAGAAAATTACAGACTCATTGCATTTGAGAGCTGGAAGAGACCTCGAAGATCACTGGCTCCAGTCCAGACACCTCATTTGATAATGAAGAAACCCAGGCTGGAAGAGGGAAAGAAGTGTGGTGCTGTGGAGTCAGAGGGACTGAGTTCATATCTCAGTTCTTCTAGTTATTACCCTCATGACCTTAAGTGAATCACATAACTTCTCTGGGCATCAGTTTCCTCACATGTAAAATGAAGGAGATAGACAAAATGATCTCCAAGGTCCCTTCCAGCTCAAAATCTTATTATCTTGCCCAAATTCACACAGAGGATGAGCAGTAGAGCTAGGATTAGCACTCAGACCTCCCATTTTCAGGTTGGATTCCCTTTCTACTCCCTTAAAAGACTTTGCTTGTAGGTGGTATATTTAGGACAATAATATCTGATGTGGTTTTTGGCTTTAAATGACAGTTATAACTGACAGTTATTCAGGCTGTCTATTTATAAATGATCCACAAAAGTCCTAGAAATTGGCTCACTGGTTGCTGGAAGACAGAGCACAAACTTGAGAAATGTGTGTTCTCACTTCTTTCATCACCTTCTGTGCATTCCTGAGGAAGAGCAGAGCAGCTTATAACCTGTATCTCAGGTACAATGACTTCTTTTAGAGCAGGTTTTCTGAATCTGGGGTCCATAAGCTTTAAAAAACATATTTTGGTAACTGTATTTAAATATATTTGTTTCCTTATAATCCTATATATTTTATTTTATGTATTGAAAAACATTATTCTGAGAAGGGGTCCATAGAGGCATTACCAGACTGGTAAAGGGGTTAATGACACAAAATAGGTTAAGATCCCCTGTTTTATCATCAATGAATAGTTTATCAAAGGGATATGATGTTTACAAGAGTAAAAATAAAAAAGAATATAAACACTCACAAACATATATATAGAGTCTGAACAAAATACTTCAGCTGACTTAATATTCCCAACTTCTGCCTTGAACTGCAAGGATTTTTATTTAAGCTTGGATCAAAACTTTCTATTTGAGTGATCCTCCAGTTTCTTATCATGGCATTGAAGGGATTCTGAGCTTTTTGAGGCTGTGATGTTATAGGCAAAGTCTGGTGGGTTCTACTAAGTTGCAAGGGCTTCAGGCTGGGGCCTGGTAACATTATGTGTCTGTTTTCAAATTCCTGGCTTTATTAAGTTAAGAAGCTCTGAATATCACTGGCCATCAGGTGGTATTTTTTTTGGCCAAGGCTTTCTTTCTTTCTTTCTTTTTTTTTTAAGGCAATTGGGGTTAAGTGACTTGCCCAGGGTCACACAGCTAGTAAGTGTCAAGTGTTTGGTCTGAGGCCGGATTTGAACTCAGGTCCTCCTGACTTCAGGGCCAGTGCTCTATCCACTGGGCCACCTAGCTGCCCCCTTGGCCAAGGCTTTCTTATGAACACCATTAACTGAGGCAAGATGCTGTCCCCTGGTTTCCTGCTTTTCCTCTAACTGTAGCTGCATTGATTTTGTTTGTGCAAAGCCCTTTTAATTTTATATAATTAAAATTATCCATTCACCAGTAAACCTCTTTATCTTTTATTTGATTATGAACTCTTCCCATATCTGCAGATCAGAAAAGTAATTTTTTTCATACTCCACTAATTTGCTTATTATATATTTTTATGTCTAAATCATGTAATCATTTTGATACATTAGTGTGATATATTAGTCTGTGCCTAGTTTCTGCCATGCTATTTTCCACGTTTGCCAACAGTTTTTGTCAAATAGTGAGTTCCTGCCCCAGTAGCTGAGATCTTTGGATTTATCAAACACTAGGTTACTGTGCTCATTTGCTTCTGTATTTTATATAACTGATCTGTTCCACTTTTCAACCTCTCTATTTCTTAAACAGTATCAGATTGTTCTGATTATTACAGTTTTGTAGTATAGTTGGAGATCTGATACCATTAGGTCCCCTTTCTCTTTTTTTATTGATTCCTATAATATTCTTGATCTTTTATTCCTCCAGATGAATTTTGCCATTATTTTTCTAGCTCTATAAAGTAATTCTTTGGTTATTTGGTATGGCACTAAACAAGTAAATTAATTTAGGCACTACTGTCATTTTTATTAGATTGCCTTGGCATACCCATGAGCAATGAATATTTCTCCAATTATTTAAATCTCTATTTGTATGAAGAGTGTTTTATAATTGTGCTCATATAGTTCCCGTGGAAGTCTAGGAAGGTACATTCCCATGTATTTTTTATTGTCTGAGGTTATTTTATATGATATTTCTCTATCTCTTCCCTTTTTTGTGTTAATCTATGAAATGTTAATGATTTGTGTAGGTTCAATTTATATCCTACAACTTTGCTGAAGTTGTTAATTGTTTTGATTAGTTTTTTAGTTGACTTTCCATGATTCTCTGAGTAAATCATTATATCATCTGGAAAAAGTGATAGTTTTGTTTCTGCTTTGACCATACTTATTCCTTCAATATATTTTTCTTGTCTTGTGATTCCTAGCATTTCTACTACAATTTTGAATAGTAATGGTGATAATGGACATCCTTGCTTCACCTCTGATCTTATAGGAAAGGCTTCTAGCTTATCCCCATTACAGATAATGCTTACTCTTGGTTTTAAATATATACTACTTATCATTTTAAGGAAAACTCAATTTATTCCTGTGTATTTTACTGTTTATTTTTTCTTTAACAGAAATGGGTGTTGTATTTTATCAAACTTTTTTCTACATCTATTGAAATGATATGATTTTGTTGGTTTTATTATTAATATGTCAATTATGTTTATAGTTTTCCAATATTGAACCAACCCTGCATTCCTGGTATAAATCCAGCCTGGTCATAGCATACAATCTTTGTTATATATTGCTGTAGTCTCCTTTCTAACATTTTATTTAAATTTTTGTATCAATATTCATTAGGGAAATTGGCTTATGTTTTCTTTTTTTTGTGTGTTTTGACTCTCTCTGGTTTAGGTATAGAAACCATATTTGGGTCTTTGAAGGAATATAGTAGAACACTTTATCTATTTTTTCAAACTTTTTATGTAGTGCTAGAATCATTCCTTAAATATCAGGTAGAATTAGTTTGTAAATTCATCTGGTTTTGGGATTTTTTTCTTAGTGAGCTCATTTATGGCTTATTCAATTTGTTTTTCTAAAAGATAGGGTTATTTAAGTTTTCTATTTCCTGTTCTATTAATCTTGCAATTTATATTTTTGTAAATATTTACCCAGTTCATTTACATTGTGAGTTTTATTGACATATATAGTTGGGTTAAACAGCTTATAATAATTGCTTTTAGTTTCTCTTTGGTTTTGAATTAACTTTTTTCATTTTGGATACTGGTAATATTTTTTTCTTTTTCTTAATCAAATAAATGAATGGCTTATCTATTTTAATGTTTTTCTTTTTTTAAAATTTATTTATTTTTAGTTTTCAACTTTCACTTCCATAAGCTTTTTGAGTTTAAAATTTTCTCCCCCTCACTCCCCAAGACAGCATGCAATCTGATATGGGATCTACATATACATTCATATTAAACATTTTTACATTAGTCATGTTATAAAGAAGAATTAGAAACAATGGGAGGAACCACGAAAAAAAGAAACAAAACAAAACAAAACAAAACAAAAAGAGAGCAAATAGTATGCTTTGATCTGCATTCAGACTCCATAGTTCTTTCTCTGGATGTGGACAGCATTTTCTATTGTGAGTCTTTTGTATTTGTCTTAGATCCTTGCATTGCTGAGAAGAGCTAAGTCTATCAAAGTTAGTCATTGCACAATGTGGCTGTTACTGTGTGCAATGTTCTCCTGGCTCTGCTCACTTCACTCAGCATCAGTTTATAATAAGTCTTTCCAAGTCTTTCTGAAGTTCACCTGCTCATCATTTCTTATAGCACAATAGTATCCCATTATATTCATATAACACAACTTGTTCAGTCATTCCCCAACTGATGGACATCCCCTCAATTTCCAATTCTTGGCCACCACAAAAAGAGCTGCTATAAATATTTTTGTACATGTGGGTCCTTTCCCTTAATGTTTTTCTTTAAAAACAAAACAAAACAAAAACAGCTCCTAATTATTTATTTTTTTTGGAGGCAATCAGGGTTAAGTGACTTGCCCAGGGTCACACAGCTAGTATTAATTTGAGGCTGGATTTGAACTTAGGTCCTCATGACTCCAGGGCCAGCTCCTACTTTCATTTAATAGTTCAATGGTTTTCTTTTAACTTTCATTTCTCTTCTTTGATTTTCAGGCTTTCTATGTTTGGTGTTCAATTAGCACTTTTAAAATTTGTTGGTTTTCTAGTGCTTGCCACCCTTTTTTGGCTGTTGTTGAATGCCCCATTCCTTGATCTCCTCTTTCTCTCTTTTGTTGATGAAATAGTTCAGAGATAGAAAATTTCCCTAAGGATGTGCCTTCATGCCATAGAATTTTATATGTTGTCTTCTTGTTGTCATCTTGAATAAATTATTGATTATTTCTATGATTTGTTCTTTGATTCACCCATTCTTTAGGATTAAGCTACTTAGTTTCCAATTACCTTAATATATGCTTCAAAATCTCCTTATTAAATATGTTTACTGCATTGTTGTCAGAAAAGATGGACTTAATATTTCTGCTTTAGTGCATTTGTTTGTGAGGTGTTCATATCCTTAATGTGGCCAATTTTTTAGATGTGCCATGCACAGCTATGAAATAGGTAGATTTCTTTTTTTCCCATTCAGTGTGCTCCAGAGGCCTATCATATTTGACTTTTCTAAATTCTGTTCATCTCCTCAACACTATTTTCTTTTTTATTTTATGGTTAGAGTTATCTAAATCTGAGAGGGGTAAATTGAGGTCCCTTACTATTATAGTTTAACTTTTCCTTTAAGAATGTAGATGTGTCATTTGGTGCATGTATGTTCAGTATTGATATTAATTTGTTGTCTGTGGTACCTTTTAGCAAAAGGTAGTTACCCCATTCATCTTCTTTATTTAGGTCTATTTTTGCTTTTTCTTTAACTGAGAAAAAGATACCTCTTTACTTTTGCTGAAGCATAATAGATTATGATTGGCTCCTTATTTTAACTCTATGTGTGTTTTTTTCTTTTTCAAGTATGCTTCTTGTAAACAAAATATTTCTGGATTCTATTTTCTTTTTTTTATTCTATTTTCTAATCCACTCTCCTATCCTCTTCTGTTTTAGGGGTGAGTTCATCTCATTCGCATTCCCAGTTATGATTGCAAATTTTCCTCTTTCCCATTCTCTTATACTTTCTTTCCCTTTTGTCTAATATCTCCTCTTTAAAAATCTTTTGCTTCTGCTATTGCTTCCTTTAATCTTTTCTCTCTTTTATTCCCCTCTTAGTTCCTTTCCTCCTAATTCCCTGTGAAGTAAGATTAATTTCTGTATCCAACTGCATATATATTTATATTCTTCCCTCCTTGAACCAGTTCAAATGAGAATGAGGTTCAAGTGTTCCCCTCACCTCACTCTATTGTATAAACTTTTCCTTGTATATTTCATTCATGTGAGATAATTTTCTCCATTCTTCCTCTTCTTTCCTCCTTGTCCCAGTGCACTTAGCTTCACTGCTCTTCCATTTTTCTTTTGATATCATCCAAATATAATAAAATCATACCCAGGACTTCTGTCTAATTGGATTCCCTCTAAGACACCTGGTGATGATAAAATTCTGAGAACATACATGTATCATCTCCCCATATATGAATACAATTTCTCCTTGTTTAGTCCCTTATGACTTTTCATTCATGTTTACCTGTTTTGTTCTTTTATTAAATATCTGTGTTTATATTTCAAATTTTCTATTTAGCTCTAGTCTTTTCATCAGGAAAACTTGAAAGTTCTCAATTTAATTAAAGGTTAATTTTCCCTTCTATAGGATTATATTCTATTTTGCTAGGAAGGTTGTTCTTGGTTGTAAGCCTAGATCTTTCACCTTCTGTTATTTCATATTCCAAACTTTCTGTTTCTTTGTAGTGTAGCTACTAAGTCTTGCATTATCCTGTGTCTCTTCGGTACTTGAATTCTTTCTGGCTGCTTGCAGTATTTTTTCCTTGACCTAGGAACTCTGGATTTTGGAGTTTCTTTCAGGATGTGACTAGCAGATTCTTTCAATTTTTACTTTGCCCTCTGGTTCTTAGGTATCTGAGCAGTTTTAAAAAATGATATCTTGAAATATAATGTCTATGGTCTTTTTTATTTTTTCTGTTCTTGGCTTGTAGGTAGACCAATGATTCTTAAATTATCTCTCCTCAATCTGTTTTCCAGGTCAGTTGTTTTTCCTTTATATTTCACATTTTCTTCTATTTTTTCAGTCTTTTGACTTTGTTTTTATTATTTCTTGATGTCTCACTGAGTCCTTAGCTTCCATTTGGCCAATTATAGGGCCAAGTTGTTTTCTTCAGTAAGATTTTGTATCCCTTGTACTAATCTGTTAATTCTCTTTGTAGTTTTCTTCCATAGCCCTCATTTGGTTTTTAAAATAATTTTTAAGCTCCCTTTTAAACTCTTTAACTCATCCAGGAATTCTTTGGGTCTAATCAGCATTTTTCCTTGAGGCCTTCCTTGGAAGATATTTCCAAGTCATGTGGTGTGTGCACGTGTGTGTGTGTGTGTGTGTGTATGTGTGTGTATGTATGTATGTGTGTGCATGTGTGTGTCTTGAGCTTTTCCATAACCATAGAAGCTCTTTATGGTTGGGTTCTTCTTATGTTTTCTCATTCTTCCAGCCTGCTTCTCGACTTTGGACTTTATGTTAGTCTTAGTTCTACACACTTTGGCAGGGTGGGGAGAGAGATGTCTGGCCCAAGATTCTGTACTTTTGTATTCTGCCGCTGCTTTCATAGCTCAGTATGGTGACCTGCAAGTTTTCAGTATTCTCCAGCTGATGTGATCCAGAGACAGGTTCAAACATCTTGGTTTGAGGTCTGGCAGTTCCTGACCTATATTTGGGTCTGTTGACTTGTATGTGATTAAGTTTCAGTAAACTGCTACTGGACTCAGTCACTCTTAACCCTCTGGGAGGCTCTCTGGTGATTGAACTGCTATCTCTTCTTTGGTCTGGGACTCTTGCCTTGTGACTGAACTGCTATCTTGCCTTGATAATTCCACTGTGAGCTCATATGCTGTAGTAAAGGCTAGAGCTGTGGTCCTGCTGTTCTGCTCCTGAGCTCAGAACCACCCAGATTCATTTTCAGAACTTGTTTCTTGCTCAGTACACAGGCAGGGTGGGCCCATGCTCCCTTGAGACTGCAACAGCTCTACTTTGCCCTGGATCCATGACCAGGACCTAGGCAATTAGTGACTGAGCCCCATGGCACCTCTTCTGTACCCAGTGCTAATTTAGGGATTCCCTGGGGTCTTCTCTGGCCCCAGCCATTCCTGCCCTAGTCTTCTGTCTTGGCCCTCTTTTTCTGGGGAATGGAATCCTACCACCACATCTGCCTCTGAGCTAGGGTTCTAGATGTCCCCAGTCCCAAATGTCTGCAGACCTATCTTTCTATTTTTCTCTGGGCTGGAAAAATGATTCATTGTGGCTTTTCCTTGGCTTTACAAACTAGAATTTTGTCTGGTGTGGTTCTTAGATTATTGTGGAGGAGATGTCCTAGACAAGGTAGGCAAAAATGCTTCCTCTCACTCTGAAGGCCTTCCTCTTCATCTGCTCAGATTCTCTCCATACTTAAATGCACAGTTCTAGTGTTATTTTCTCCATGAAGCCCACACTGTCTACTCTGACTCACATTAATTTCTTCCTTCTCTGGCCTCCAATGGAAGTTAGCCTTTAGATGTACCACATAACCTTGCATTTATCATATACTTTTTTGTATTGTTCTGGAAGTGCCTTAGCATGGTGTAGTAGGAAAGAGCACTGAACTTAGTGGATTGAACTTGACATTATAGGATCTGAGTTCAAATACCAGCTCTGCCACTTACTACTTGGGCAGGTCATTTAGCTTTTCTTGGCCTCAGTTTCTTTCTCTGAAAAAGAAAGGGGTTTGACTAGATGATCTCTAAGGTTCTTCCCAATTCTAGAATCAGCTAGAGTACATAGAGTGCTAAAGTGCATAGAATTCTGGAGTCAGGAAGACCTGAGGTCAAATTCTGCCTCAGACAGACAATGATGATGGTGATAATGGCAATAATAATGATTACCATTTATTTATTTAAAGTTTGCAAAGCACTATACATGTTACCTAATTTGATCCTTACAATAACTCTGTAAGGTAAGTGCTATTATTATCCCCATTTTTACAGATGAAGAAACTGAGGTCCAGAGAGGTTAAGTAACATGCCCAAGGCCAGATTCAAACTCCAAATCCAATACTTTATCCACTGTGCCGCCTAGCTGTGACTCTGAACAAATCACTTAAATTCTTTGACTCAGTTTCCTCATCTGTAAAATAGGGATAATAATAGTACCACTTCTATTGATAATCTCCAATTTATCCTGCATATATTTTATTTATACATAATTGTTTGTTGTCTCCCCCTTTAGACTGTAAGCTCCTTGAGAGCAGGGATTGTCCTTTGCCTTTCTTGTATCCCAAACACTTAGTATACTACATAGAACATACTGGGTGCTTCAAAAAGACTGAGTGTCTCCCCAGTTTGTGAGAACGAGATAAGAAAAAACCTGTAAAGTGCACTATATAAATGCCAGCTATTATAATCCTATGATCTAGGTATGTCTGTTCAACAAAAAGTAGAAGACCCTATTCTCTATGTTATTTTCCACAATGGAACACTGTCCTTAGCTACTACTTGAATTTCCTAGTTGGAGCCCGAGCTAAGAAATGTGACTCTTCTGGGCTTAGCCTGAGAACTCCAGTCCCAAGCTCCTTACCTTAGAATTCTGCTCATTCCTGTAGAGTTCTGGCAGAGCCAGGAGGGTTTCAGCAGAGATGTCTTTATCTAGGATCCCAAAGACAAGGGGTGGTAAGGAGGTGAAGAAAAGGTTGAATAATATCATCTGCCAGTAATCGATCATCGTGGAACCCGAAAAACCACAGAAGAATTGGTACCAAAAGAGAAGGTTGACATAGCACTGTAGGGAGAGATGGTGGGATCTTTAGTTACCTCTGGAGCTCATTCAACCCAGTATTTCCAAAGTGTGCTGACAACATGCCAATGAAAGTAATTTTGATATAATTTAGGGAAAGATCATACAAAGAGCAGATTGCTGCTATAACTGACTTGGAGCTGTTACATGGTCATGAGGATAACAGATGATATTTATTGTGTTTTTGATGACTAAGGACATTACATACATCATTCCATTTGATCCTCATGAAAACCTTGTGATTAAGGTAGGGCAGATATTATTAGTCTCATTTTACAGATTAATAATAATAATAATGATAACTTACATTTATATAGAACTTTAGGGTATAGAAGTACATTATATACATTATCTAATTTCACCCTCATAACTATCTTATTTTGTGGTTTAGTTGTTTTAGTCATGCCTGATTCTTTGTGATACCATTCGGGGTTTTCTTGGCAAAGGTAGTGGAGTGGTTTGCCATTTCCTTCTTCAGCTCATTTTACAGATGAAGAGACTGAGACAAACAGGGTTAAGTAACTTGCCCAGGTTCACACAGCTAGATGAGTCTTCCTGACTCCTGGCCTGGCATGCTATCTACTGCCACTTGGCTAGCCTTAACCACCTTGGTAGGTGCTAGTAATTATGATCCCTCACTTCCCACCCCCATTGATAGGTGATGAAACTGAGGACTAGAGAGTTTAAAAATGAATTACCCACGTCACTCAGCTCCTTACTGGAAGAACTGAGACTCTGAGTCAGCACATTTGATGCTGACTTGCCGGAATGGAGTCACTCTGACTCCATAGTGGCAGAGCTTGGGCGGAAGTCCTAACTTTTAGGTCAATGACCTTTACGAGATTCCTTTTTCCTTCTTGTTTTCTCTTTTCTAAAATGCTGCTGCTTCGTGGGTTATTGCTTTTGGTTAAAAGCATGCCCATGAATCCCTGTCCTTTTCACCCAGGGGATATGACTGTCTGTAGTTATTTGACTTTTTTTTTTTTTAGTTTTAAAACCTAGGTCTGAAAACCTGAACCTGTTGTTTCCTGCCCTGGCTCTTTTACCTCTTTCTCAGTTTGATGCTTTTGTTCAAAGAAAGAACTGTCTTCATCACTGGGTGTTTTGCATACCAGGCCAGTCTGCCTCCTGTTGCAGCTTCCCAGCTATGCTACTTGGAGAGGAATCTTTCTTCAGCTAGTCTCTGAAGTGTTTCTTGGAAGGCAGGGGCCTAATGAGGCTGTGAAGAGTCTGATACAACACTATATACAGATTTTCAAAGCATTCAATATGCTGTTCTTAAGAGTTAGAAGGAAAAAAAACCCTCAGTGAATCTATTTGATCTATCTATCTATCTATCTATCTATCTATCTATCTATCTATCTATC